ATTAATTTAGTATAGCTCGATCTTATTTCCTGTTGCTTAATCTAATATATATCATTCTTTAATTTATAATTGTTGTTTTGTTGCTTTTTTATATCTAAATTATTCGAATGGTTTCGAAATATTTCGATTTATTTCAATATATTGCGATTTATTTCGATGTTTTTTACGCTATACTGTGTAATAAATTACGGAATATTACGTAATATATTCATAATATTTCGAAATATATTTCGTAATATTTCATAATTTATTTCGAAATATTCTGCCTAGGTCGTAATTATTGCGCAATATTTCAGTCCATAATAACTTACATAAGTTTACGTTTATATATTTTGCTGATGTAAGTACACGGGCCCAGGAGTATTTTGTAAAATGATCTCGTAAATGAGCAATATATTTAAATTCATTATTATGTTTAAAAGTCATATCAACTAAATCAATCTGTTTAAAATAAAAAATTATTATGATAATATAATAATAAATACATAATTACAAAACATAATACTAATAAGTTACTTGTAAACGTAACATAAATTTTCGTTCAATAATTGATATCCCAGCTAACGGTTGAATCCGAGTATGTCTTGTTGCACAAATAGTATATTGGGTTACAAATTTTTCAACAAGATCTTGCCGGCAATACCCCCATTTGCTACTAATTTGGTTCCACGTTTCCTTTTGGCCACTATGCTGAGTAATTGTTTCATGTATCTTGCAAAATTTATTATACATGTTTTCTACGGCTAATACAGGAAGCTCAATTTTAACCTTCTCATTATTTTTTTTATTTTGTATTCGAATGTGAAGTACAATATAGGAATCAGCAATTTTTTGTAATTTAAAATTTTTTTTAACCCAATAACGAAAAGCAGCTATATATTGAGTAGTATCCATAGGATTAAGAAGAACTTCTTTAATTCTTTGTAGTTTTTCTTGATCGATTAATGCCTTTTCTTTTTTATTTGGTGCCAAACTTTCGATATACCCTTTAACCAAGTCATCAAAAGTTTGCTGTAACATAAATGAATATTCCATAATCTTTGGTTTGACATAAAATACACAACAGTATATTAATATAAAGAATGAAAAAAATCTATTAACTAGTTCAACGGAAAAAAATTTATTATTTTATTTATGTATTTATTTTATCATTATTACTACATTTATTATGCGCATTTCAATCAGACACATAAATCATAAACTAGTCTGACGCATCTCAAATTCAAATTTTGATCTTACGCAACTCGATTCTAAATTCACGCCTCTTCGGATCTGACGCATGATATATATAATTTTAGTTATTTGGCCAGAGCGTAGCGACAGACATTTTAATTTTTATGCATGTTGATACAAAAGTTACGTTTTTGATGTATTTGGCTCTAAAAAAGTTATCTTATTGATACATCAATATAATACTTGTAAAAATTAGATCATAAATGTAATTTGGAAATTTTTGTCAGTCACGCCGCATATCGCGTAAATAAAATTTTTAAGATACAGAAAAGTAAACACAAAAGTAAACACCCCAAATCGAGGGGTTTACTAATTCCTCCCACCATTTCCTATTGACGAATACAAATATCATTTTCCAGTGGATGAAACCAATTACATTATCGATCAGGGTGGTTAATACAATTAAAAAATGAAAAAATTTTTTTTTCTTTTTTTTCTTTAATATTTATTTTCGCTATTTAATACTAACTGTTTGCTCTTTTGGGTTTTATCTCAAGTTTTTTTTTTAGTAATAATTTTGTGTAAACATTTAAAAAAAAACTTTCTATTGAAATAAACATATTAAGTTATACCAATACTGCTGTTACAGAGTAAAGCCTTCTTAATTTACTCTATAACGACGACACGGCACAGAGAATCCTTTCGTAGGTATATGCGGTGTCCAAGAGGTAAGTATAGCTTC